CTGTACACCTTACCCTTCCCCACTGAACAAACCCTCCATTGCCAGTAGCCCACTTCCCATCTTCACTGACAGTCCTTTGTCACCACTCTCACTGCGGTTTCGTATCTGCCCCTCGCCACTACCTGAACCTCTTTCTAGGAACTCTAGCAGATATCAGAAAGGGGTAGAAGTAGGGAGGTGTGCAATTTGAAGCTCCAGGTGCCATTGCCCTATGAAATGTTGAGTTAATTCACATACCATTTAAACCCTTTGATACTGTTAGTGTAAAACCTCAAGTGCATGTTGTACTGAAAGGGCTGTTGTGGTCTATAGGAAAACCAGATCACAATGCAGATTACTGTTTCTATGTTCTGAGTTCTGTAGCAGGGATGGATTTTACTCATAAGCCGTGATCTCATTCTGCTCTTGCAAAATTGGAGAGGGGTGAATTAAAGAACTCAGGAGCATCCAGCTTTCCTGTATACAGACTTTCAGTCCATTGATTTCCAGCCGCATCTGTTACCCCATTTCTGAAGAACCTGGTGTCTGCAGATCCAGAGTCTTTCAAGCATTTATTGAAAATGACACTTCTGCAGGAACCTGGTTTTCTGCTGCTTTTTCTCTGATGAGAAAGCAATCATTCCTGTGCTTTCCACAGTCCAGAACTTTTTAAAAAAACTTCTCCCATTCTCATTTCTATATTCCTTTGCTTTCCCTCTAGTTGAATTTCAATAGCGAATATAAATAAATATGTTGTTCAAACCAATTATAATGAAAGTTCAGAAAAATCTGTTTTCCTATAATATTAAGCTAATTAATGACACTTTACTGACTTGCTAGGAGTTCTTTTTTAAAAAAAATCATTTACGTCTTGACATATGTGATATAAACTCTTTTTCTACTTGGATTTTTTTCTACTTTTTTTATCATGTAGAATTTTTTTATTGATTTAATCTATTGGTTCTTCCCCCCTTAATTTCTTCATATTTATGGACACCCTCTCACTCCTAGAAGATTAAAAATATTCTCTTACTTTTTTTTAGCTTTATAGTTCAGTTCTCTTTCTTCATAGGTTTTTCATTTAATTTTTGATCTATCTGGTGTTTAATTTAGTGTAAGATATTAGGTAAGTCTCTAATATTACTGTCCTCCAAATGGCTTCCCATTTAATGAATAGCCAGTTGTTTTTTATTCTCCTCCCATTTAAAGTCTTACCCTGACCTCAGACCTGTTGGGTCAAATTTGAACTTTATTTTATTTCACTCATTTTTTGGTCTACTAATATGACAACTTCAATTAATGTAGGTTTATAACAAATTTTAATACCTGAGGAATTTGTTCTCTCTGATTTTCTTCTTAATACACTTTTCCAAGTGAATTTTTCAAGTTTATATAGTTTAAAAAGACTCAGACACAAACTTTTTCAAAAGTTAATATGAAAAATACATTAGTCAACAACCTAAAATGCTTATTTTATTGTGTATAATCATTTTCACTTGTTTCTCTTTTTTAAGATAAATAATATGTCTGCAAATAATGATTTCTCCCACTTTCCTAATTCTTATACCTCTTATATTTATTTTTCTGGATATTATTAACTAATGAAGTTGGTGAGACACATAGTCTTTTATTCTGGTTTTAATGGGAATACTTCTAGATTTTGCCACCAAAAGCTTATGTAAACTTTTAGATTGAAATGTATTATCAGAATATACAGAGGTGATATGTAGTTACTATCTTTTTAACTGTTAAAAAATTACCTTTAACCACTTTTAAGGAAAATAAATTAATAGGGCCAGCATCTGGCATGGTGGTTAAAGATGTTGTACTCCCACATGGCTGACTACCGTTCTAGTCTCAGTCCTGGCAGCTTGCTTTCTCTCTCTCTCTCTCTTTCTCTGGTCAGATTTTTAAAATAATAATAATAGCAATAATAATAAAGCTAAATAAAAATAACTCTTCTAAAACTACTAACAATAAATTACTATATCTTGTTTTTATAACAAGTCACATGACTTCAGGCTCTTGGTCAGAACCATAACTCTCTTCTGGATTATTCTTTTTCTTTCTTGTTTCAGCTACCATCGGAGTGTGGAAAAGTATGGATGACAGTTTCACCAAGTCTTAAAATCTTTAGCACAGACATTTTCATATATTTACTATGTAGTGTGATGTAGTATCTAGATTCATATAAATCCATACTGAAAATTCAGTTTTGGGAAATGGGTATTTGTTATACTTTGCACACGTTAGCCAGAGCGCCTTTTGTGTTTAGCAAAGAGATGAAGATCAACGGTTGGGGACAAATTTGCTGAGGGAAAAACACTCTGGACTTGAAAAGACTTAATTTCCAGTTATATGCTTTCTTATTGCTGCCTTTTCTTGGGCTAGTCATTTGCCCATTCTGACACACAGAGAAAATGAGTGAAAAAGATCATTAGAAACTGTACAAAAACAATATTAGGACAGTCTCTTCAAACTTTAAGTAGGTTGCAGATCTTTAAAATTCTAAAAAATTCAAAGCTAATGCTGCTTATAATAGAAATTTAGAAGATATTTTCTCAAAATCACCTTTAAAGCATTTGTTAAGTTTTTCCTAACATCAGCTAGCCCAGTAAAATGAGCTTCTGCACCACACGAAATGACATATTGGTTAAGTCAAATGTAAATCAGAATATATTTACATAATTAATCAGATGTGATAATATTATCAGAGTGATTTGCTTGGCAAAAATAATTATTCTGAGTTATCTGACTACACTAATCTGCAATGAATGTTCCTAAGTCCTACAAGTCTTTTAAATCTGCTTTATTTTCCTAAATAAATCAAATATACTGCCAAGTCCAGCACAGATTTGTCAAGAAATCTCATGTCAGGAAGTTATAGATGATTTCCCCTTTGAGACTTTTACGAGCTCTGGGACATGTCCAACCCAGAAAAATGGTGGCAAGTTCCTCTCAAACTCACTACAACTCTGACATTATTCTTCAGGCCATGAGGTGCATTAAGAGAAGTGCAGTTTTGGGACCAGCAGATGGTGTAATGTTTACATCACTGGACTCCCATGTAGTCGATGGCAGTTCGAGTCCCAGACCCAGAGGCTTAAAACTCACACTGAGCACATGTACGTACGTGCCAAAAATCCCAAGAGGAGAACGGAGAAGGGATTGCAGGGTGGCCATCACCTCAGGGGTTTCTCACTTTCTCTCTCTCTCTCTCTATCTCTCTCTGTCTTTCTGGTGCATGTACACACCCTATATCAAAAAATCTCTCTTTCTAAAAAAAAAAAAGTGTCATTTCGCTAATGCCCAGCTGCTCTAGCAACAGGCACTTCCACTCTATGTAGAGGCTTTATATAACACTGGTGCCTTCTAGCCTTTGAACCTACACTGTCCTATGCTTCCAACACCATGGGTTCTGGACAGTCCTTTCTTTTCCTTTCAAAGCAAGAGTTTTCTTCCCTCAGGGTCTTGGGAAATGTACAGCTACTTCTTTAAAAGGCCAGCTTCCAAAGAAAGGGCTTGCTTGGAAAATGAGGGAAATCTTCAGATGTAACTCCAGAAACATAAAGAAGCTGTCAATACCTTTTGAGGCAAATGAACCCAGAACATAGAGCCCTTCATGTTCTTTAATAACCTTCCCAATCTTTCCAGTATTCTGTAATAGCAAAGCCAAGACAAAAATGAATAGCTCCATAAATTATCCTGCCACTAATCAAGTTTAACATTCCAGTCATTTATTATTCTATTCAATTCTGTGAGATGTATGCTAAATTAAACAATGAGGGGACAGTGACCCCATTTGCCTCTACAGCTCAGGTTCTTGTTTTGGTGTCACACTTCATACCATGTGTTTTGGACAGATTATTGATTTATCCTACCTCACAAGATTGTTGGGGAAATATGATTATATTCATTTTCATCAGGGTTTTTTTTTTATAGAGAACAAATACCCAATGCCCTAAATCTATCTAATGAATATAATGAATTAACTTCCTCCTATGACCAAGGAAAGCACTAGATAACTAGTATTATCCTTGCAAGAACTGAGAAGATGATGGTTAAGATGAATAAAATTTTTATAATGGATGCAAAAGGTTAAGATATATTTTCAAAGATCATTTCAGTTCAGCCCCCCAGTCTACTCCGTATTTAGCTGTGTATCTTTTGGTTGTTGTGTATGGAGGTGGTACTCAACTTTATCACTGAAAAAAGTGATATTTAATAGTATCTACTTCTCAGTAATTATGCTTGTAGGCATATTATTATACAGAAAGAAAATCAAAGCAAATAGAGTCTCCCCATAAAACACATGTCTTCTTTAATCTTTCATATATTAGGTATAATTTAGCATATGTGTAAATATCATAAAGATATATGTCACCCTGAATGAGAGGTTCTATATTCTATTAATCATAAGTCCAGCAGTTTGGATAAAAATCTCCCAGGTAAAAATATCTCCTTATTTATTTATCCAACACATATTGACCTAAGCATATCCAATCACACAGTGTTAGGAATATTTTAAAAAGGAATTTTATCCTAGTCAATAAGAAACTTATGTGACCTAGCAGGGGAGATATCTAACTAATTGACCCCATTGCATGGTAAATACTTACAGACTGCATAACCAAGATGCTACATACTCATACAGTCAGGAAAGAAACATGACTTCTAATCAATAGCATTAAGCACAGATTTGTGGAAGATATGATCTTGATCTAGACTTTGAATTATCAACACTATATTCCTAGGTTGAAATAGGGATCATGATATGTAGTATCCAGCTAGAGGATTTTATAAATGTTTATAAAAATAGGTAAACATTCCAATTTCACTATAAAAAAGCAATAGCATGAGATGAGGTTAGCAATGTAAGATGAGTCCACAGTGTAGACGACAATGGCTTCCAAGGTTTGTTCAAACTTTTACTTGGCCAGCGCTAATGGATATACACATCCTATGCTATGAGTTAGCAGCTTATTTTCTGGTAGACTAATTAACAATGTTTCATTTTGCAGGTTTCTTTGGTTAGCTTGGTAGCCAATGCTCTTGGCTATTCAGAACTTGGTGCCATCAAATCCCTCCGTACACTAAGAGCTTTAAGACCACTAAGAGCCTTATCCCGGTTTGAAGGCATGAGGGTAAGAAGAATAGAAACTCTCTAATGATTCATGCAAAAATTATATGTAGGTAATGATTTAGGAACCAGAAGGTATCATACACTTCTTATTTACTTTACAGAGTTACAGAAGTTCAGAGTAGGAATCTTATAGATCACTAAGCCAAAACTCCTGAAACTGAAATTTATATTTAAGCAGGCCTTCAGAAATTGTGGCAAAACTAAGACTAAAATCCAGGTCTTCTAATCACACAGTTCAAGGATGTTTCCACAACATTCAAAAACTGTGTGCTGCCAGTTATTTCTTTTCATTGCTTACACTATTTGAAATAACTATTGACTACTGGCATTCATCCTAGGAGGGTTTTTTTCTCCTTCTCAGTAGATAGTGTTTGATTCCTCTAAAATTACTGATGATGAATGAAAAGTGAAATGTTTTTTGTGTACGTTACTTCTTGAATTAATATTCATAATAAAAATCATTGTAAAAGAAAACAGCATTAAATTGTAGCCTCTAACAAAATTGAAACATTCTAAGAAATCGAAGTAAGGGGTTAGGATAATTAAACATTTCAGGCAACCCCTGGGGTTTGTTTTTATAGGTCTTATTTTTAAGTGAGCATTTTGAATGAGGTTTAATTTTTTCATAGCACTTGGAATTTTCTCTCCAGCTCTTTCTTAGTACCTATATTTTGTATCTAAACATAAAATACACACTTACATAGATAAACACCTTCTTGCCACGCTCCTCACTACTTTATTAAACACAGAAGCCAGGTTGTTTAATCTTGTTTTCCAAATGCACATGATATTGAATTTTTTTCTAGGCCATAGAGCTTTTATGTTAAGAGGTGGTTTGTTTGGAGCAATAAAAATGCTTCAGCTTTAACTTCAAAATATACCAACCAAAGAGAACAAAACCACTTTCCAGACATTCCAGAAGCATTATAATGAAAGGAAATCTTTGGGCTTTATATTATAATTTTATTTCATTGCTACTGCTAAAGAGAGTTTTTAAAAAATGTTATTGAAATTATTATGCAATTTCAAGTATTTTTTCAAACCTTTTACCATTACCTACATTACATAAGCGCTCATCTGATTTCATGATCTCATCTTGATAGTTCATTTTTGAGAGGAGGAAGCAATTGACAGAGTTAAAAACCTACGAATTCACTCTGATCATAGAAAATTCTAAATTTAGAATTTTAATTCAGTCATATAGTAGAATCAATATTCCTAGCTATAAAATGTGATAATATATCTTGCATTTATTTGAAGATGGAGAACTTGTGTGAATATATACATCATTTTTTTTTTACAAATTTCAGTGGGCTAAAAACCTGGAGAGTATAATATACATGGCTTTATTTCTAAAATAAATAAAATCCAAGTGTCATAGAACACTGTTACAATTTGGGGACCAGCAGATGTAGTAATGGTTACATTGCTGGATTCCCATGTAGTTGACAGCTGTTCAAGTCCCAGATCTAGTGGCTTAAAACACATCAGTTATGTGTGTATGTGTGGCCAAAATTCCCGACAGGAGATTGGAGGCAAAGATATTGCAGTATACCATACACTCCTGGGGGATGATTTCTCACTTTCTGGTTCTCTGTCTCTTTCTGTCTCTCTGGCAAATGCATATGCCTTATATCTCCCAAAAATAAAAATTAAAAATTAAAAATCTCTAAAAAAGAAAATTGTTACAATTTTTTATTTCAGATTTTGGTGTCAACTTAAAATTCCTTAGAATTGATTTCAGAAATAATGTTTAAAACATTCTTTTTAAAAAGAGCAGTAGGGGAGCCGGCAAGCAGTGTGCTGGTTGGGGCACTGGATTCCCCCATCGCCAACCACAGTTCAAATCCTAGACCTGACGACTTGCTTTCTCACTTTCCCTCTTGTCTCTCTCTGGTCAAATCTAAAAATAATAATAATAATAATAATAATAATGATGATGATGAATAAAATTACATAAAATAATTATTTTCAAAAAGCAATAGTTTCCTTTAATATAAATGCTTAAAAGCGTAGTCAAATATGAACTAGATTAGATTAAATAAGAAAAGTTATTATGGACCTCCCTAGAGATTTCAAAATACTTCTTAATCTTGTCTGAATTTGCTGAGAGGAATTGTGACTGACTGGCCCTTTCACAATATAAATCAGCCTGGGTTGATGAAGTAACAGATGGCCCAAAGTGAACATTTAAAAGACTGCAGAGTAATAGTAATGGGGACACATTCAAAACTTCTATGTTCAGAAATAAAATTTTCCTCTTCTCTTTGTTTAATAGGCTTTTTAATTAGGATTTACCAATAGAAAAAAAATTAACCTGGTAAATTTTTCATCCTGTCAATTCTTTCGATCTAAAGATACAGATGTAATCATTTTAATACTTTATTTGTAAAGAGTTTGTTTACTCTTTCAAATCACCATTCATTCATTATCACTCTTAAAGGTGTATTGCTTAATAATGATTATTTCTTCTGTTGGTACTTAATGCATCTTTTTTTTTTCTTTTTTCCCCAGCATGCAAACATTTTCTGACTCCATCTTACTATATCAGGTTTTTGTTTATTTCTTTTCAGACTTTGGCAAATTTTGCTTTTCTTAAATCCTTTAACCCTTTAGTTGTGTCACTCTGTTTTCCCTTATTAAATATGTACCAGAAAATATTAGAAGAAACAACTTGTCTCTTAGATTTTCATTTAACTCTTTCCAAACATATTCTAGTACTAAATTAGTAATGGAAAGAATGGTTTCCATTTTAACAATCCCTAAGCTGCCTTATCTTCATTTCCTTTTCTAGGTGGTTGTGAATGCTCTTGTTGGAGCAATTCCCTCTATCATGAATGTGCTGTTGGTTTGTCTCATCTTCTGGTTGATCTTTAGCATTATGGGTGTGAATTTGTTTGCTGGAAAATTCTACCATTGTGTTAACATGACAACTGGTAACATGTTTGAAGTTAGTGATGTCAACAATCTGAGCGATTGTCAGGCTCTTGGCAAGCAAGCTCGTTGGAAAAATGTGAAAGTAAACTTTGATAATGTTGGTGCTGGCTATCTTGCTTTGCTTCAAGTGGTAAGTGGCTATCATATGACCTTTGAAAACATATTCAAAATGTTTCAAGTAATATTAATTTTCTGATGTTCTTTGTTTGAATAATTAATATTAACAAAGTGGCTGATGATAACACCTATAACATTTACCATTTGTTTGGTTTGACTAAGAAGAAGTTGCAGTTATTTTATAATATATTTTCCTCAGTAGTTACCTTTAAGTATGCTTAAATGTGATTTTTTATATTTTGGTTTCCATTTTATCTTGTTATATTATTGAACATTATAATCATTTTTAGTTTTCTGTAGCAATCATTGCTAAAGCAGCTATTTTATACATTAAAATAAGAATATATTTACTGAAATGACTGGTTAAATATATGAATTATAAGCCAGATAAATTATTGTACCAATGTCTAAGAAGTACTATTCTACTATGTATCAAAATATAAACCTTATGGGTAGATCTTAAGAAGTGTAATGTTTTAATTTATTTTTTTACTCAATTGACAGTGTATAAGCTAATCAATATTTAATTAATTAAACCTGTTGAGTTGTGTTCAAAAAGCAATAGGTTTGATGATAGAGGTTACCTATTGCTATAAAAAGAACTTGAAACTGCAATGGAATTTTTATTAATCAAATATCAAGTTAAATTTTAGTGTAGAAAAGCTTGAATATCTTTCAAGAGAAACAAAGAAAATAAGTTTTAGAGTTTAAATACAGATATTTTCTATTTCAATTTTATTTCTTCATTCAATTCATTTTAAACTTTTCATAGAAATTTTTATAATAGAAAAAGTTATTTATAATAATACTGTCAAATTCTCATTTGGTAAATGCCTTATTTTTAATAAAGTTTCTATGTTGTTTATAGGCCACATTTAAAGGCTGGATGGATATTATGTATGCAGCTGTTGATTCACGAGATGTAAGTATCATTCAAAAACTATTTCTAGTTACTTGATTTCCCATGGTGAACCCTGAAGTTTATATTAGGTAAAATGAAAACACTGTTATATGTAGGAATGATCTTTTTAAGCCAGTATGCTTCACTATAAATGATGTTTTTGGTTAAAATATGTCTGATATATAATATACACCTAATATTAAAGGATATGTGACTTCACGGATCATGAGACATCATATTGGTCTCATAAAGGAGACTATTCAGAATGGGAAAGTTGCTTAGTGAGGGAGTAACTTGTATCTCCCTATCCCTGGAGACTATGATAAACCAGAATCTGTGAAGCAGCTTCCAAGAATATCATGATATGAAAAAGCGACCAAGTCTCAAGGAAACTCAGTTTTGAAAATAGAAATAAAAATAATTCCTCAAAACATACTTGTCTATGCTGAATGTTCCTTTGGAAGTCAATGCCTTGCTATTAAAACCATATTTCCAGGAGCCAACAAGTGCTGAATTACGACTATTGCAACAAAGTTATAATAGTAAGACTAACAATAGACCCGAAACATTCCTTTTATCTCTGTTATTTGCACTGAAGAATATGTTATAGGTAGGGTACATAATGGGAAGATGTACTAAAGAAAATCATAAAATTTGTGAACTTTCATCATTATGATAATGTTAGTTTGAAAAAAAGAGTTGTTTTTATAAAATATCTTAGGGCTAGACAAAAGCAACTGTACATTAAGTAATAGCATTTACTATATTATTAATTTGGTTTAAGTAATCATTTTTTACTATTTTTAAATATTATTTCTATTTTCAATATTATCTAGGTTAAACTTCAACCTGTATATGAAGAAAATCTGTATATGTATTTATACTTTGTCATCTTTATCATCTTTGGATCATTCTTCACTCTGAATCTATTCATTGGTGTCATCATAGATAACTTCAACCAGCAGAAAAAGAAGATAAGTATTCTTTAGCTGTCATCTTTCTCTATTCTGTGGTTCTGTCTGTATACAACCAAATAATCAGGACATTTGTAGTCATGGAAGACTTAGATCACGGTTTTTTTGTTTTTTTTTTTTTTACTTTTCATTTACTACATGATCAATTCAACTCTAAGGGATTCCTGCTTCCAGTCACCGCTCCTTCTCAGGTTCATGCCCTGCAAAGCCATTGTAGTGTCTTTCTGACCCATAAATGTGACCACTGCTTCAGAACATCCGATGGGTCTTCAGTCTTGTAACCTGGCTTACGGAACTTTTCAGAAATTATTGCCACCCAACTTTTCTGCTTCAGCTTCTCCCACGCCTCATTCTCTCATGTACTTCCATTCTCCATTGTCGGCATTTACACAACCATTATCACCACCATCATTTGCTGCATTCATAGATGAATTTTCTGCTCTTTTCTGAACAAGTCACATCTTCCATTTCCATGACTTTACATGCACTATTTTTCTTCCTGAAATGCTTTGCCTGGCAAACTCTTAATCATCATTTAAGGTCTAGATTAAGGGTATCTTCCTATCTCCTGTCTCTGAATCTCTGAATTTATTATTGCCTTTGCTATTCTTTTTTGTATGTTGGGATCAATGTTACCATATACTTTCTACATATGTTTTCAGTTTCTTGCCCCACTCAGAAATAAGACATTTTATCATATATATCTATATAATTCTGATACCAAACACACTGTCTGGTACACAGGAAACGCTCAAAAAATTGTTGAATAAAGATGTAAAACTGTCAACAGTGAAATAAACTAAGAAAATACATTCTGTTCAACAAAAATGTATTTGATACCCTTGAGCCACCTTCTACACATAGTATAATCAAATTGGGATCCTGTCCAAATCAGACTTTTATGTGCTGTAGATTTTTACATAACATTCAAAATTTCATATAAATGGTAAAAGCAGAATAAATATATATTAAGCAGGATAATAACTATTTAAAAATGGAGAAAAAGTTAAATGAAAAATGTAAATATTTTTGTAAAAGTGCTATCTATGGTAACATGTGTTGAGATTGTAACCAGTTTCTGCTATGTCTTTACTTTGGAGGTCAAGATATCTTTATGACAGAGGAACAGAAAAAATATTACAATGCAATGAAGAAACTTGGATCCAAGAAACCTCAGAAACCTATACCTCGGCCAGCAGTAAGAATTACTCAGTTTAACATTCTAAAGCCATATTTCAGACTGGACAATGCGCTGAATCAGAACACATTCTCTATGTGCACATATAGAAAGCCATAAAGCTCATATTATAGGGCACAATTAATAACTGCTGCTCAATACGGATCATCACATTCTTTAAAAGAAAGTTATCTTCTTCATGGTTTGTAAATTGAAAACTTCCAACTCAGGTTCCTAGTAACTCTTTTCAAAGCAAGGTTTACCCTCCTGGTATCATCAATATACCTTATCCCTACCTTTTTCATTTTTTTTTTTTTAATCTTACTCTACAGCTCACTCTTGTCCTCTGAAGTAGATGGAGGTTTTCAGCCTTTCCATCCCCATTTCATGGCTTCTCTCTGTGTACTCTGTTTTCACCATTATTTTGCCAGAGGGCACATGTGCTAGTCAGACAGAGATACACGCTCATGCTGAAATCCCTTCTCCTCCATTTCTTCATCCTTTTGGGATCTGGAGCATGCACACACATGCACTCAGCAAGTTTTTTTCTTTTTTTTTTTTTAAGGTTTTTGTTCGTTTGTTTTTCTTTTTCTTTTTTCTTTTTGTTTTGCCATATGGTGCATATACACTCAATAGAGAGAGGGAGAGAAAAAGTGGGAAATCACTCCCTGGAATGGCCACACTACAGTCTCTTCTCCTCTATTCTCCTCTAGAGATTTTGCCAGAGGGCACATGTGCTAGTCAGAGAGAGACAAATGCTCATGTCGAAATCCCAGCAGAATTTTCAAGCTGCCAGGTCTGGGACTCGAACCACAGTCAGCATGTGGGGGTCTAGCATCTTAACCACTGTCATCTGCTGGTCCACCAGCATGTTTTTTTTTTTTTAAGTCATTGGGGCTAGGAGTCAAACTGTGGTTAGTCATGTGGGTTCCAGCTTCCTGGATTTTTTTAGAGAGAGAATTTTGTTATAGGGCACATGTGCTCATCGGAGAGACAGAGAGACAGAAAGTGATAAATCACCCCTCAGGGGGATGGCCACACCACAGTCCTTTCTCCTCCATTGTCTTCTAGTGATTTGGGGCATGCATGCATGTACACCCAGCATGAGTTTTAAGCTGCCAGGTCTGGGACTCAAACCATGGTTGACTATGTGGAAGTACAACAACGTAACCATTACGCCACCTGCTGGTCCCAGGGATCCAGCTTTTTAATTACTAGGCCATGGGCCAGCCCTTTCTCCATTCTTAAGACTAGAAAATTTCCTAGCTTGTTTAGAAAGGATAAAAGTGTCATCAAAATTACTCACTTTTCACCAAATGTATAAAAAGAAAAAAATGATTATTCAGAATGCATGCTTTATAAAGTTTCATACTAATGTAATGGCACAATAATGACGAGTTATGTTCACGGAGCTATCTAATTTATCTGTCCTCTGAGACTGGTAAGGAATAAGAAGACAGATTTATAGAGCAGGTCATAAAACTTGTCTTTGCCAAAGTGGGAACTTGCCAAGGTTTCACGAATTCTATAAGTAACAGCATTTTATGATATTTTAAAAAATAGTGGTTTCCATGGTGTGTGTGGTGGAGGAGCAGAGCTAGTTGTACACAAAATGACTTCCCTTTCCCAAAGGTCATTTAAATAGGAAAATATGGTCAGTTCATAACTTTTGGTTTTTATCAAGCTGTGAAATGTTTTATTTTAAATTGTTACATCATTTATTTCCCTAATAAAATTATATTTAATAGCCATATTAATGAAGGAATCTGGGCTGGTTCCATGGCATAGTGGTTAAGTGCTGAGCTGAGGAAGCTGAATTCCATGTGGACAACCACAGTTCAAGTGCCAGCCTTGAAAAACATGCGAGGCACATATGCATGCATAGGATCCTAGGATGGAGAATTGGAGGAAAAAGTATTGTGAAGTGATCAGGCCCCACTGGGGAATACTCGCTCGCTCTCTCTCTCTCTCTCTCTCTCTCGGCATGAGCCCTCTGGTTGGTTTATTTGGTTTTGATTTTTGTTTGATTATTTGTTCATTTGTTTTTTAAAAAACAATCTTTCAAGTAAATGGTTCCTGAAATGCTTGCTGGTAACACAAGGGAAAATATTTTATTTTGGAAAGTCACAATTTTTGTTGAAGCATAAGTAAAAGAGGACAGGTGAAGAGAAAGATAACTTAACAAACACATAGATACAGAGAGTTAGAAGAGGTAAACTTGCATGGGAAAATGACTGATGTATTTTGAAGGGAAGAAACGAGTTATAAAACCAAAGTTTTTAAATATTGATAAATGAATCAGGGTGTTCATCTATCTAAAGCCTATCCATATCAACCTAGCTTGTAAAGGTTCATTGCCAGTTGTTAGTTTTTATTAAAACAACCATAGTTCCTAAAATAAATGATAGGGAAAAATTACGCAATTTATCAGCCAATTGTCACCAATTTTATGTCTTACTAAGCTTTATCTTCCTATGAGACCTAAATAAACCAAAGACACTTTGTTCTTGTTATATTACTTAAATTTTTTTAACATGAAAAATTGAGCATACAAAATTGTTTGGAGTAACGGGGAGAGGATATACATTTCAATGGCCATATGTGGAAGGGCTTTACATGCAATTGTATTAGAAAATTATTATATATATATACACACACAAATATATGTGTGTGTGTGTGTGTGTGTGGTGTGTGTGTGCGTGTGTAGTTTGGGTCATAGTTCGTTCCCTAAAGATTCATGTTTTGGAATTTAATGTTGGGAGGCGGTGATACCTAGTGGGTGGCAATTGGTTTATAGTGATTGCATCATAGAGGCAACAATCTCCTCAATAAATTAATGATGTCTCATGAGACCCAGTGAGTTTTAGCTCTCACAAGAAAGGTTGAGTTCTTGTGAGAGCTGATTATTACAGAAGACAGAGCTGCCCACAGCTTACTCTGTGTGTACTCACCTGACATCTGCCATGTTTCCATCAGCCATGTTGTAGGACAGTCTAATATCAGTTTCAGACTTTCCCGTCACTAGAATTGTGAACTAATAAACTCCTATTTCTTTACAAATCACCCAGTCTCAAGTATTTCTGATAGCAATAAAAAAAATGGACTAAAGACACATAATAATCTTCATTCTCCTTTTTCTAGAACAAATTTCAAGGAATGGTTTTTGACTTTGTAACCAGACAAGTCTTTGACATCAGCATTATGATCCTCATCTGCCTCAACATGGTCACCATGATGGTGGAAACTGATGACCAGAGTAAATACATGACCCTAATTTTGTCCAGAATCAACCTTGTATTCATTATCCTGTTCACTGGAGAATTTGTGCTGAAGCTTATCTCCCTCAGATACTACTATTTCACTATAGGCTGGAACATCTTTGATTTTGTGGTTGTGATTCTCTCCATTGTAGGTAAGAGGGGTTTAATTACAGAAGAAGTGCAGTTGTACGGAAACAGTTCTTGCAAGGCCTGCCAGATGCTTAACATGGAGATTAGACCTGGAAATACTAATGCGGTCAATGCCAATAAATATAAATAAATATATGAAACCTGTGTTTATTGACAAAGTCAATAAAAGAGCTATGCTATAAGTACTAGGGTGAAGAGGACCAGAAACAAATATCATCAGATACTCTCCTTTTCCTGAACAAAGTCACAGACTAGGGAAGGAGACAGGTTTTCTTTTTTTTTTTAATTATTATAATACAATATTAGTACTATCAGAAACACTGAAGAGAATATGACCAATTTTGCTCGAAGGAGTTAACATAGCCTTTCAGAGATAAGAGTGATGATATCTAACACAGGTCCCAAAAGAAAAGTTGAGATCTAAGAGGAGAAAAAAAGGAGATGGGGAAGCACAGAACTCCAAATTTAAAACTGTCGCTTTGATTTTATGCTAAATATTGCCTATTTTGCTCTAACTAAAGAATGTTAAAATTTATAACTAGAAAGTAATATATTCGGATACTCAGAAATAATCTTTGTAATTATCACATTTCATGTGTAAGAATAACTATAGTAATTGGGTATATATCAATTTAAATTAAAATGCTATCTGAAATTAATTTAGATTTCGTAAAAACCCATAGTGCTTTACAACATTATAGAATCATTGAATAAAACTTGTAATAGTTAATTGTTAAAATTAGGAAGTGGGTACAGATATTTCATAAAAGGTTTATATTCGTAGCCAATGTATTGTTTTCATAGACCTTGGAAAGATAAAGCATTCACATAAGCACAAGATACTCACTGTTTAGCTGTGTTCTGTATTTCTTCATAGGTATGTTTCTGGCTGAGCTGATAGAAAAGTACTTCGTGTCCCCTACCCTGTTTCGAGTGATCCGTCTTGCTAGGATTGGCCGCATCCTGCGTCTGATCAAAGGAGCGAAGGGGATCCGCACGCTGCTCTTTGCTCTGATGATGTCCCTTCCTGCGCTGTTTAACATTGGTCTCCTGCTCTTCCTGGTCATGTTCATCTACGCCATCTTTGGAATGTCCAACTTTGCCTACGTTAAAAAGGAAGCTGGAATTGACGACATGTTCAACTTCGAGACCTTTGGCAATAGCATGATCTGCCTGTTCCAAATCACCACCTCTGCTGGCTGGGATGGATTGCTAGCCCCTATTCTTAATAGCGCCCCACCTGACTGTGACCCTGACACAATTCACCCAGGAAGCTCAGTTAAGGGAGACTGTGGAAACCCATCTGTCGGGATTTTCTTTTTTGTCAGTTACATCATCATATCCTTTCTGGTGGTGGTGAACATGTACATTGCGGTCATCTTGGAGAACTTCAGTGTTGCTACTGAGGAAAGTGCAGAGCCCCTGAGTGAGGATGACTTTGAGATGTTCTATGAGGTTTGGGAGAAGTTCGATCCAGATGCAACTCAGTTCATGGAATTTGAAAAACTATCTCAGTTTGCAGCTGCCCTTGAACCTCCTCTCAATTTGCCACAACCTAACAAACTGCAGCTCATTGCCATGGATTTGCCCATGGTCAGTGGTGACCGAATCCATTGTCTTGACATCTTATTTGCTTTTACAAAGCGGGTTCTTGGAGAGAGTGGAGAGATGGATGCTCTCCGAATACAGATGGAAGAGCGATTTATGGCTTCGAACCCTTCCAAGGTCTCCTATCAGCCAATCACTACTACTTTAAAACGAAAGCAAGAGGAAGTATCTGCTGTTATTATTCAGCGTGCTTACAGGCGCCATCTTTTAAAGCGAACTGTAAAACAGGCTTCATTTACGTATAATAAAAACAAAATCAAAGTTGGGGCTAATCTTCTTGTAAAGGAAGATATGATAATTGACAGAATAAATGAGAACTCTATCACGGAAAAAACTGATATTACCATGTCCACTGCAGTTTGTCCACCCTCCTATGACCGGGTGACAAAGCCAATTGTAGAAAAACATGAGCAAGAAGGCAAAGATGAAAAAGCCAAAGGGAAATAAATAAAACAAATAATATCATTGGGTGACAAATTGTTTACAGCCTGTGAAGGTGATGTATTTTTGTCAACAGGACTCCTTTAGGAGGTCAATGCCAAACTGACTGTTTTTAAACAAATCTACTTAAGGTCAGTGCCTACAATAAGACAGTGACCCCTTGTCGGCAAACTGTGACTCTGTGTAAAGAGGAGACAACCTTGACAGGAGGTTACTGTTCTCACTACCAGCTGACACTGCTGAAGACAAGAGACAAAGTGGCTATTCAGACTGTAGGGACCAGTTTAAAGGGGTGCAAACCTATAATTTTGGGGATCTTCAACATGAAACACTTTAGTGTAGTAATTGTATCCACTGTTTGCATTTCAACTGCCACATTTGTCACATTTTTACAGATCTGTTAGTGGATTCATCTTTTTTTTATCCATATGTTGTTTATTATATGTGATATTTTTGTAAATGGGGTTTCTGTTGGGAAATAGACTAAAGAACCTCTTGTATGCCACCTAGGGGTTATGGCAACCACATGGCCCTCCCATCTGCACAAAGACGTGGTTTGCATGAGGGCATGCTGCACTTAGAGATCATGCATGAGAAAAAGTCACAAGGAAAACAATGAGTTCTTAAATTCCATCTGTTTCTGGGAGGGGTAATTAGGTGATAATTGGAATGCTTTGCTGATCTTGTTTTGTCAAATCCAGTCCCTAGACCATGCAGATTGTTTTGAGGTAGACCATTAAATCTTAGCAGTTGCAAACTTCATTCAAATGTCTGGAGTCATAAATGTTATGTTTTTATTTATATATTAAAAAAAAAAACTAAATAATGAATACTACCCTCTACCTTCCACACCCAGAAGACTGACTTGACCAAAAGAATCCTTTATAAATTTCTGCTTAAGCCTGCACTTTGTTTAGCCATCTTCAGCTCTCAGCAAGGTTGACACTGTATATGTTAATGAAATGCTATTTATTATGTAAATAGTCATTTTACCCTGTGGTGCACGTTTGAGCAAACAAATAATGACCTAAGCACAGTATTTATTGCATCAAATATGTACCACAAGAAATGTAGAGTGCAAGCTTTATACAGGTAATGTAGTGTATTCTGTACCATTATAGATAGTTTGGATGCTATCAGTGCATGTTTCTATTACCATGCTGCTATATCTGGTTTCTCCCACTGCTCAGAATCTCATTGATGAGAAACCATCTGTCAGTGGTAAAGTCAAGGAAATTGTTCAACAGATCTCATTTTTTAAAGTCATTAAGCAATAGTTTGCAGCACTTTAACAGCTTTTTGGTTATTTTTAAATTTTAAGTGGATAACATACGGTGTATAGCCAGACTGTACAGACATGTTTAAAAACACACACACACACACACACACACACACACACACAC